TTCCCTACCACTTCGGCCTCCTTCCCTTCCCTTCCCTTCCCTCCCCTCCCCTCCCCTCCCCTCCCCTCCCCTCCCTCCCTCCCTCCCCTCCCCTCCCCTCCCCTCCCCTCCCCTCCCCTCCCCTCCCCTCCCCTCCCTCCCCTTCCCCCATCCATCGGCAGCTCAGGCGAGCAGCAACAGCGACATGTCACGAGGCTCACAAGGGACGTTGACGGAAGATGTCTCGGGCATCCTCTGCCGACAGCGACACCTACCAAGAGCGCGTCAAACTCTCAACACTTTCTAACCGCCCTCATGGCCTCTTTCCTAGGCCTCCTTCCTCTTCCGACCTTGACTCCTCACACTCGGTCCCTTGTTACTCTCCTCCCTCATCCATCCTCCTCCTCCCTTCCTCTTCCCTTCCTCTTCCTCCCTCTCTACCTTCCATGGTTTTCGACGTCCGGAGTACTGAGGAAGTTGAATAAGCTCGGCGATGTTATCTGCAAGTGAATCAGCTAACTCTCTTAAAGAGAACTTCCACTCTATCAGACCAGGTGTCTGCTTGTTGAGCATCAGCCTGTGCGCGTCAAGTCAGCCCCACAAACTTGACTTTGCAAACAACGAGAGCTGAGAGGTGACGTGAAGAGGGAGGTGGAGGCAGCTGAAACAGACGCTGACGAAGGGGGAGAGGCGGAGGAGGATCACGCTTGCGTGAGAGAGGCAACCTAGGAGCTTTCTTCGGCCTCGTCCTCCTGTTCCAAATCTCTCGGATGGTCTAGGGAGGACTTTGTCATTCGCAAGTTCCGCAACGCATTCCTCCCTCACCTTGACGCTCAGCCCATGCTCAGCTGCGAGCTTGGCTTGCAGCTCCTTGATCACCTTGGGATCTTTCTCCAGGATGGCTCTATCCAAATCCTCGTCTAACTTCTTTCCAACCGTATCGCATCTATGATCCTTATCCTGGGGATTGTTCTTCCTCTTCACGCTATTGGAAAGCTTGCCACTCCTCCCTGCGGCTCCTCCTCCTCCTCCTCCTCCTCCTCCTGACCAGCCACTCAGTACCATGTCACCAAACCACAACTGCCTGCACCGATTGGTTGCAGAGCTCGGCGATCGACGGCTCTTTGGTCTTGTAGCCCGATGAAGACTATCTTCCACGTTAGAAAGCAGACAACTCCAGCAGCGTCCTGCTCACCATGAGCGGTCGACTCCCTTCCTCTTCCTGTACTCCCACTGCCTCCCTCTCAGCTTGCAGCTCCATCCAGTCGTCGTAGGAGGGAGCGTCAGGCGCATCAACGCTCCCCATCGCGTGCTGTTTGTAGGGGATCTTCTTGGCCTTGGAGGCATAGACTGCAGAGAAAGAGCTCTTCTCAATCTCCTCGCACACCTTCGAAAGCAGCCGCATGTTGTGCGTGCTCCATCCTCCCTGATCGCCCTCCGCCTTGTCCAAGCTCCCGTCATCCATCGAGGTCGGCATCTTGCATGGCACGTTCTGATCAACTTCATGCTCTCTCTTAGCCGAAGGAGTTGAGATCCCCAAGTTAGTTTGGCTCCACACCGTACCCATGGTCGGTACAGGTCTCAACGGCATGTTCTGTGGGTTTCACGAGTTAGCCAAATTGTCGTATCGACCATCTACGTCTCGACCTTCTCTCCAGCTCCATCTGCCTGTTTCAGCTGCATTGAGAGCTCCTACAGGATAAAATCAGCAGACATGCGAGCCCTCAGCGCACGGTTATCACTTCATGTTGCGAAAGGATCGATGCTGTGCCAAATGAGTAAGTATCGACAGAAACCCATTCCTCCCATCGCATCACCTGATGAAGCAGGGAGCGAAGGATTGAGCAGAAACCCTCCACCACCAACACCTCCGCTTCCGCTTCCAACTCCCACAGGAACTCCGGAGATTCCGATGCCCGGCATCTGAAGGCCAGAGCGGTAGGCCGCGTTGGACTGCAGCGCACTGACGCTGTTGGCAAGAAGCCGAGTCATCGTGGCGACAGTGATCCCTGCCGACTGCACGTCAGCTTGCAACCATGTTCTGGTCCGGTCACAGCTACACAACATGAAACAACGTGACTGAAAGTTTTGTTCTCCAGCAAATTGAAACGAAAGAGAGAGAGAGAGAGAGGACCTTTCTTGTTTCATAAGTCTCTCACAACAACTCTCCCATCACACATCAACATAATTCTTGACATTAACACATTTCTTATCAGTCAGCATGCGCCTTGAACTACACCTGGGAGAACAACATAAGGCGGAACTACGTCCGCCTGATTTCCAAATCCGTTTTGCACCATCAGCCCGCCCATGCCTGGCACTGCCATGCACGGTTGACTTGCTATGATCGGCTGGACACCCAACCCCATCATCGTATTGGAAGAATGAGGCAAGGGGAGGCTGGGGAGCGAGACTCCCGCGTCCTGCCTTCTGCTCAGCTACACAACCAGGCATGTTTCAGAGGGGTCTGACCTGTTCAAGGCGAACAGGGATGTTGCTCATGGCGTTCGACAGGCTGTTTGTCAACATGCCCTGATGTTCTGCGCGTTAATATCGCAGGAAACGTCTCAAGAGGTCAAGTACCGGAGGGTTGGGACAGCAGAACCCGTCCCGTCGTCAAGCATCCCCGACAGTATGTGGGAAGCACAAAGCAGGGAGGATGGGAGAGGCGAATGAAGGATACGAAAAGAGGCAGAGAGAGATAGAGATCTGTGATCGTGTGATTGCTTAATTTCCGAACTTGGAAGGATCCACTTGCTGACGGCGAGTCCGAAAAGATCAGCGAGTATCAGAGCTAGTTCAACTAGCAGACAAACGGTTCATGTATCAAACCACCTGCCAACATGCTTAGCGTGTTTCCTGTGATGCTGGTCAAACAACAAATACATCAGATTCATACAACCACCAAGAAGATTGTAATGCACTGAGTCAATACTATCCTTCACGACACAAACATCAAGTAGGCATGAATATGTCTGTGAGCTCTTCTCCGTTCTCATGGGCTCTTCGTATCGTGTTGCAACGTTGTAGCATCAGCAAAACATCATGTCTCGAATTCATGGATGGCGATCAGGTGATATACAGCATCTGTATCACAACCCCCAAAGGCCTCCATCATTGAACGAAGGCACTACACACTAGCTTTCAGCATGAGACTTGTCCATGTACATGATGGAGACAAAAATCGCTCAGCATCTTGTTCGCTCTTCACCTCTCTCAGTTCATGTTTCTTCGTCTCCTTCGCTTCCACTCCAGCATCGCAGGGATCGACAAAACCAAGGACCCCCTACCCCTTACAAGCAATTACTACCCCTCTTCTGAAATGACCCCACCCCACGAATATCGTCTCCCTCTGGTCGTTAAGACCCATGTTTCAGTAGCCCTACCACCCACAACATCAATTCAGGACCCCTGTGACCCCCAAGATAATACCAGACCGAATGGCACCCCCTATCCACCCCACCCAACCTAGCCTCTTTACCGAGAAAAGTACCCCCTTTCCCCACTCCATATATGCAATGTACTACCCCCTATAGAATACAACTATACCACCCCGACCCACCCAAATAAACTACATCCACCCACCCAAAACCAGATCTGACCCACCCTCCCTACTCACTAACTCATAGGAATTCCTGGAACTACCTACCCTACCATCAGAGAGGGACCCTTTTTTCTTCACCCCTTGAATTGATTTCCAAAGGACCCCACCGAAACGCTGACCCCGTATCACCCTACCCCCTGGTTTTCAAAATACCTTTTGGAGAAATTTAAAAGGTATTTTAAAAAGGCACCCTTGGTCAAGATTAACAAAACACGTCGGTCTCTAGGGGTACTTTGCAGTATAGAAACCACCGGTACACCTCTTTTGTATCTCGCACCATACCACCCACCCTCAATTAGCGATCACTACCCTTGACAATACCCCACAGGACAATGCTGGTCATTGGCTTCACTTGAACCAGGGTGGGGTCATCAAATCCTATGACACAGGTCTTATGGTTGATTAAGATGGGGTCATAGCAAATCTAAACCTGATGTAAATAACCCCTAGATTCACTTATTACCCTACCCACTCCTCCGTCAGATACCCCACCCACTCGACTCCAACCATCTCGTGACCGCACCCCACCCTACACATTTACTATCCAACTGGACGAAAGTGTTATGACCCTATGCTAGGAAGCTAGGACCTGGGGCCTATACTGCCAGTCAGAAAGCTCATACGACCTTTTACAAACCCCCACCCCCGCATCCGAGGCTTTAGAGTCCCTGCCCCCTAGGCCTTCACGTTCTAGGAACCATAGGACCCAATAGTGTCGGTGTAAACCAAACCGAGCCTGCTCCTGGAGCCGACGGTGAACTCTGAGTGGCTCGGACCGTCGGGCCGTCAACGGCCCGGTACAGATGCCACGGTAGCCCGCCCCGCACTCAGGGCCGGGCTGCAGTCACTGAGTGACGGCCCGCCGGCCGCGAGTGGCGCGGCCCAGCGCCGGGGGGCGGAGACGGGGGCAGCCCGGGGCCGGTACGGTACGGTACGGTATCACCGGGGCTATACTTCAATGCGTACCGGGGCCCAACAGGCTGTAGAGTCACGTTGAGAAAGAAGCTCCGGCGATCGGCATCTCTTACAGGTATGATATGAGATCTTCATCTCATTTCTATCTCAGTTGGGTTGGATTCGAAGTCTCTCAATATCAAGGCCCAAGTTTGCCCGTGACAAGACTTGAATTGTAATCAAGACTCTTGAAGCCTGCCACTGCCAGAAAAAGTCCTGCTTGGCTCTTCGGAAGTTCGTGATTTGAATTGTGAACACGGTACGGTCGGAAGACCCAACCCGCCCCCACACTGTGACATGACTCGAGCCTAGGCGTGGTATGCGTGGATTTGAATCTACCACCCTCACAGCGAAACGTTTTACTACGGAGCTCCTGGCAAGGCCCGGTCAATTGAAAAAGGCAACCGTCTATGGGCCGCCCGGCGGTCGCCGCCCGGCCGCGCACCCTGCACCGTGGCACTCAGCCTGCCAGCCGCCCCCCCCGGCGCGGCCGGCCCTCAGGGCGTCACGCGCAGTGCCACCGTCACCCGGCGTGGCACTGTCGCAGTGCGGCGCGGCGGCACGCCGGGCCCCGCCGAACTGAGCCAGTGCCACCGTACGGTCACGGCCCGGGCCCATGGAAGTTCAATGGCAAGTTCGAGTCGTGCCGCAGTCACACGGCGGTGCCCGGCCACTGCGAGTAGTACCGCGGGGCGGCCGCGCCCCGGGCCCCGGGCCCGGCCGGAGTCAGCAGCCGGGCGCGGCGGAACGGTCACCGGGTCGGAGCCGCCGGGGCGTGACCCCGGCGGGGCCCGGCCGGGCCGGGCCGCGATGATGACAATGATGGCACCGTCCGACCGTCGGTGGCACACTCAATGGTCACTGAGCGGCACAGGGAAGGGGTTCAACCATCTGTCACTACTTTCTTTACTCAAAGTCACAGTAGTAAGTTAAAAAGCAGCCTGAGTCACTACTCCTGCAGTTCCCACGGTCGGTAGCTAGAGTTCGGCAAATGCGGTCAGTCACGAGTCACGAGCCTCCGAGTCACCGC